CGTCGCCCCCTCTCCTTTTGCCCTCACATGATACCATCACCCAAATAAAGACAGATAATATTCCCATCTTCCTGAAAAGATACCTCATTGCCCTCTTCAGTCAACCCTCAACCCCATCCCTGGAAACCATCCTTTTAATTCATATCACCATATATTTATATTGTTATATTTATATGATATTTATAATGTTGAACTTCATATAAAAGAAATCATACAATATGTACTGTTTTGCTCAGCAGAAGTTTTTGAGAATCTTCTATGTTTTGAACACATCAGTAGCTTAATCCTTTTATTGTCCAACTGTATTATGTTTTATAAATATACCACAGTTTGTTTCTCCACTTCCTATTGATGGACACTTGGACTATTTCCAGTTTTGATTCCTATGACTATATCTATTTTGAATACTTTTTTAGGATTCATTCATATCTCTTGAATTTTATTTCTCATGGAAAATGATAGGGCATTTATATTGAAATTTAGGGCATCTGTATGTTATTGGATATTCTTACACCTCATTACACACCAAGCTACACCTTCCAACCTCATCTTCATCAGTTTGTTTTAGTTGCTATATTTTTGGTTTTTTTAAATTAATTTATTCAACAGATTTTTATAAAGCACCACTTAGTATGTGCTAGACACTGTTCCAAATACTTTTAAATAGTAACTTATATATTAGTCCTGACAACCAGTTGAAGTAGTTATTAATATTCACATAAAAAGAATATATTAATGGATAAAAAGTCAACTAGAGCCTTTAGATTTCTGCCAGAGAAGAGGATCATATTTCTTTAAAAACAACAACAACAACAAGGAAATCATGATTTCAATAGGGTCACAGTATTTCCTCTACATAAAAAATATTTATGCTAAGATTTAATAACTGGAAGGCACTAGAAACAGGCAATTTTTATTATATCCTCTTGACATGTTTAGTATAATCATTTGAATCAATGCTGTAGTTAACTCAAAATGATTTAGCCCCATTATCTCTGAAAATTTATAGACTAATCTGGCCATATTTGAGACTTATTATGATAGCTGACATCTGAATGACATGAAATTAAGTCTCGGAAACACATCACACACACAGTGTCAACTCATGCATGTAGTACTCGGGATGCTAAAGGAAGCTGAAATGAGAGACTTGAAACAGGAAAGATCAGGGTCCCAGGGAGTGGTCTTATCTCTGACACCTGTGTGGTGGGGGGAGCAGAGATCATACCCAGAAAGGTGCCCGAAAGAGGAAGCCCAGGGGGCCTTTTTTATTTTCTTTGAAACTTGCTCTGAGAATCACCCCTGGTCTCAGATGTCCTAAAATTCCTCCTCCATTAACCTACTGAAATAGTGAGTTGAAGCTCACCAGTGATGCCCCCTGTCCGTTTCTTGGTCCTCATTCTTTTTGTTTTTCCTCAGTCATTTCACCCTGTTTTGAGCACTCAGCATGGTTTTCAGTGTCCTGCATCTCAACTGCCCTGTTCTCTGCACCCCCATCTGCTTCCCCCTGCTGCTTCAGTGGGAGCTGCTCACCAGATCTTAGACTTGAACAATCCAGAAGTATTAGCCCAGTCACCAAACAATCCCCTTTTCCTTGGCTCCCAGGTATCAAGCACACATGAGATTCCATCTCATGGAGTCATCAGAGCCTGGATGGCTCACCACCTGATTTAGACGCTAATTTAGGTACCTGATTAAATGCAATCTTAGTCCGACCTCTCTGCTGTGTGTGTGATTCTGTGTGACTCTGTCTCACTCTCCATATGCACAAATCGTACTTGCTCATTCTGACAGTAAGTGCTTAAAAATAGAAAATATGGGCAGTAACTTGAGCACCTATTTTAAAGTCATAACTGTGTTCAAACAGTGCTGTTGCTCAGATGGACTTTTTATAGGTCACCAAAGCTCCCAGAACTCCACTTTCTTCATCTTTTAAAATGTAAATGACTATAATAGACACTCCTTTGGGATAGAATAAGATTGTAAATGAGGAGGTTTATGTAAAACATGTGACTGATAGTAAGCTCTCAATAAATGATTTCTCCCTGTGGTTTTAACTCCCCTCACATCACCCATTCTAGTAACACAATTGTTGGGCTCAGCTTCAGTTTGATTGATCGAAACCACTATGATTAGATGGGTTAAGATATGCTAGGTAATCACCCACATCACTCTACCACATCCTCTGAACATGGTAAATGATAAAAGTATTTATCTCAATAAATCACTTAAATTATTAATCGATATTTTATTTTCTAAGAAAACATGAGTGCCAGGAAAATAGGTGCACAATATTTTTCATGTGTCTTTTAGATACTAATAAAATATCAATAACTTATGGTGTTGCTTGGAAGGATCTATAATGTAAAAAATACAGCATCTAGTTTATATTTGAAGCGTTCACTTACTATGAGCTTTTCTATTTAGCCTTAATTTTTATTTAGTGATTCATAGAAATAGAGATGGTAAAAGTTGCCAAAGGAGAGCTCATACTAACAAAAGAAAGGTGGGAAATCAAGGAACTCATTAAAATGAAGCAAGACATCTTGACATAAAGTCCTAGATATTGGAGAGTTAATATTTTCCTACTAGCAAAAACTGTAGGGAGTTAAACTGAATGTTCCAATGATAGCAGCCTTATCGAAATAAAAGTGCTCCTCAGCCCCAAAGAATCCAGTCCCCTGATGAGCTGATGTGGAGATAATTATTTATAATAGCACTTACTGGTAGAGAGGAAGGAGTGAAACCTGAGCAGACGCTGAGGCGTGACTGAGGTGGGTTTTATTTCTGATTCCACAGCACGGAAGTGGGTGCGGTGACTCAGGGCAGTGTGGTGGCCCAGCTGTCCCCGGGCATGCCTCCCCGGTGCGGGCACATGCCTCCCCGTGCCAGGGGGAAGACTAGCGGGAGGGTCGCCCCCCACAACCTCACAGTCAGTCACTCCACCATCAAGAGTCTGCAGTCCGTTTTCATCGCTTCCCAAAGCACGTGTGGAATGCTCCACAGGCGCCTATGAACAGCCACTTGGTCTAGTTCTCTGCCTCTGCAAACAAGACCAGGGGGCTTTCCCATAAAGAGGGCTGTGGCCGCTTTCTAATCCATTGACCTAATTTACTTTTCTGGGAACCACTCAGTCCCTGGGGAAAGGAGAAGCCTGCTTTGTTCGCACATTTATTTTACAGCTACACCTCCTTTTTCTTAGGGATGTGTTGTGTAAGTCAGCACAACCGGGTAAGACACGCAGCATAAAAAAGCCTGCGACACTGCCCAGCACGACCCATCGTTGATACGCCTCTTTATTCCAAAGTGAGCCACTTCTGTTCCCTGATGTCTTTGCTATTATTTGTGATTTGGGAACTTCTCAGAAGAATCAGGAAGCAATACAACAACAAACAGGCTTCAAGCCAGGTCATATAAATGTATAAATAAACTCCCTGTATGATATGTCATTTTGTAACTCGGCATATTACTTTTGACTTCAATGCCAAAATACTGCCACTCTACATTACTGTTCTTAATAATTTACTCTATTTTGCTTTTTAAAATATAGCTTGTTTTAGGATCCCCATATAAATAGTGGCATTTTATTTCTAAACTAAATAAGATACGGTTTAACTGATGTTGAAGTTGAAACTCCAATACTTTGGCCACCTGATGAGAAGAGCTGACTTATTTGAAAAGACCCTGATGCTGGGAAAGATTGAGGGCAGGAGGAGAAGGGGACAACAGAGGATGAGATGGTTGGGCAGCATCACCGACTCGATGGACATGGGTTTGGGTGGACTCTGGGAGTTGGTGATGGACAGGAAGGCCTGGCGTGCTGCAGTTCATGGGGTCGCCAAGAGTCGGACACGACTGAGTGACTGAAATGAACTGAACTAACAAAGATTGTGAGCCTAAAAAAACACATTTTTGCTTGGTTTGCGAGAGTAAAGATGAAGCACTTCGGTTTGCTTGAAATTCTCTGAATATGGTGGCTCCTCCAGGAAGCCTTTTGGAACTCTTCCCTACCAGGATCAGACCCTTCCTCTTTACATTACCCTGTCCTCACTTGTATTTTATCTTATTTCTCTTTCCTCCTCGAGACTCTGAGTTCCTTGTGGCTGTGACATTCTCTGCCTCTCCAGCATCCAGCAAAATGCTTGACACATAGCAGGTGCTTCAAACGTGTTCAGTGGATGAATAAATAGCCTAAAGTTATGACTCTGTGGCTTTCCAGTCTATCCACTTATACATTTTTTTTCCCTGACAATGACAGAAGCTACATAATTGGCTAATTTGACGAGTGGTCATTAAATCCACAAGTCATGAACTGTTCGATAATTTAGCTCATAGTCTACAAATAGGACCATTTCAAAGGTTTGAATTGATGGACTTCATTTTACCCTGCTATCATGAATTTCGCTTACATTCACACCAGGAACCCCTTACCCAGAGTCTTCAAAACGCTCAGGACAATTATTTCCTCCCCCAAAACTAAGCTGCCTGGCTAGCTTAGTTAATAAAGCAGGTGGGTTCCATCCCTGGGTCAGGAAGATCCCGCTGAGAAGGGCATGGCAACCCACTCCAGTATTCTTGCCTGGAGAACCCCATGGACAGAGGAGCCTGGCCGGCTAAAGTCCGTCATGGGGTTGCAGAAAGTCCGACATGACTGAGCGGCTAAACAACAGACAACAAAAAGGAAACACTCTGTACATTAACGTCAATACCTGGATTTTGAAACTCAGAGCAGGGAGATGCAGCGTCATCTTATACCCGGCTCAGAAAGTCAGGCGTCTCAGAACCCGGCACGTGTTGCCGGCGCTCCCCCTGAATATTGTCAGACCAATAGGCGTGTGCGAGGCACTTTTATGGACAGTATAAATATTTTGAGCTGGAGGCATCGCCACCAGCTGATATTTTCTTTCCTCAGGACCAGCTGTTCAGGAGCATCCCGGACCGGAGCCAAGCACTTTCAGGACTTGGATCTGACCCGGCCCGGCGGCCCGGCCTGCGCAGCGATGTCGGTGGTGGAGGAAAACCGGCCGTTCGCCCAGCAGCTCTCCAATGTCTACTTCACCATCCTCTCCCTTTTCTGCTTCAAGCTCTTCGTGAAAATCAGCCTGGCCATCCTCAGCCACTTCTACATAGTGAAAGGCAACCGCAAGGAAGCGGCTCGGATAGCGGCCGAGTTTTACGGAGTAACCCAAGGACAAGGTATGTGTCCGGCCTGCGCTCTGGTTTCACGCCGACTTTATGTTTCATCCACAACCCAAGAAAACACCCCAGGTTTCCTCCTGTAGGGACTGATTCAAAGTGACTGTTTTGCCAACTTCTCGTCATGGAAAATATTTAAGTCACTTCCTGGCCTCAGGAAAAAAAAAAAAAAAAGAAAATAAAATTACTTTTTTGGGTTTAATCAAATTGAGGTATGGTTGCAAAATAATCTAATGGGAACATACTCTAAGGTAGATGTTCTCTTATTCATAAATATTTTTAAACTTTTAACGTTTCACTTGCCAAGCCATACTTTTACAAGGTTCAACTACTGATTGCACTTCAATTGTCCTTAATATACCCGAGTTTTTATGATTTTTTTTAAATCAAATCTTTAGGAATATGTAAAATGATCGTTACAGGAGAAGATTTGAAGGTTTTGTTTGTTTTTCACAGTTTTATTTGACTGAGATTAGCCACTTCATTATAAAGTAAAGCACACTGTGGAAAATACTAAGATGTATGGCATGGGTTTTCCTGATGGAATTTTTGTCGCTTTGCTCAATTTGTAAGAAATTGATTACAAACGGACAGGAATATGAATGAACAGATGTTGTATGTATGCAGCCAAGTACATCCATCTATATTTCTTAGAAGAAATTGAAGTATGAAATTAAGTGAAAAACAATCATTTTAACCATAGACTTGAAAGGTTGTAAAGCAATTTTCATTCTATTGGACTGGTATTTTTTACAACAAAAGCAATTCTTATGGTGGGCTTCAAGGTGACATTTCAGTTTCTTAAAGTCTTTTGATTATTTCTGGTTTGAAAATCATCAGGCAAGCATGCACATTTTAGAGCCCCAAATACCTCTAAAGTAATTTAAATTTTTGAAATCAAAATATATTACCACATAATTAGAGAATGTATTTTTTTAAAAGAATGCTTAGAATAGAAAACTTGTATCTGCTTTTCTATATTTTTTAATTTGTGGAATAACTTATTTTAAAACTCTAGGTGACTCTGTAGGTATATGTAAAATTGAACAAAGGTAGAAAATACTTTTTGGTATATGTGGTACATAAGAAATACATTTTCCCCCCAAGGAAGATGGTTCTTATGCAAAGGGAGAAAGTTATGTGTTTGTTCAAAGTGAGGAAAATCTAAATGCCAGGATGAAACCCAGACGAGGAAGGTGGGCTCTAGAGGAAACAGGCAACATCTGATCTTTCACCCACCAGTTCAGAATAGGGATAACTGTTTAAAAGCCACATATACCATGCTGGTAAAGGGAATATTCTCTTTTAAAAACCAGCAAGCATAAGAGATTAGATTTTAAAGTAAACCTCGTGTTTTTAGATATAAGACTAAATAGATGATGCAGGCATAAGGTGATGAAGTTTACAGTCATGGGCAGCCCGTAACTCATTACTTCATAATCAAATCCCGTCTACGTGTTATGAGAACTGCCGTACACAAGAACTGAAATGTTGGCTAGAAATCCAACATTTTTGGTGAATTGACAAGGGTTTTAGAGGAAGCTTTGAAATCTCCTTTTGAACTTATTTACAAATAAAAGAAACACTCGTTCCCTCTTTAGCCTGATTTCAGTCTGTTCGCGCTGGGAAGACCCCAGGAAGCTGGGAAATGGCTTCCATGTTCCTATCTGTTTTGATGAGTTTGTGTTAAGATATATTAGAACTCTAGGATTATGTTCCAAAAAGGAGAGAAAGAAATTAACACTCCCTAATAGAAAATACTTTTTCTGGGAACATAAATGGGGAACATCAGATTTTCACATCTGTTATATGTTGTTTTAATTTTGTACCTATTTAACAAGATTCTCACTTTCTATAGCTTGCATTCACATATATATTGACCAATACATTATCATTTGTATTCAGTGTAAGAATAATCAGTCTCCAATTTTATTTTAATATTAGGAGGACAGTCGGGAGCCTTACAAACTCTTGGTCTACCTCTAAGAATTAATTCTTCCTTGCCTAGGAAGAAATTATACTGTTTTAATATAGGTTTTTCTTTTATGTACTACGATTAATCTATTTTTATTGTGTTTATGTTTTTATAATTAACCAATCAGGCTTAATTATCTTTGCTTAATCTAGCAATTTCCTCCTTCCTGGGAAAGATTATCACCTTCGTTCCACTCTGAGTTAGATTTCTCGTTCCTACTTTCAAGACTTAGCCAGATTGTTCCCCAACATTTCTGATGGGGAGCTGCCAAATTCCATGAAATATGAGATGGTGTGTGTATTTTCATATCTTTCATAATCACGGAAGACCCTGTTGACAACAGTCTGGATGTCCTCCCAGTGAGCAATAGTTCTTTGGTAGGAAATAGAAGAAACTCTGTCTTCCCAGATACTGTTGCAAATCAGCTCATTGTCTTAGACAAATACTGGGTGATCTTTCTTAATGCACTTTCCAATCAGGGTGGACACCTGGTAGGATCACACAAGAATACCAAAAAGCAACATGGTAACTAAAATTGTTTAACATTGTTTCCTTCTTGATCCCTTTGCTATTCCAATAAGCCATAGAAATCTGACTTTTCACCCTTTTATCAACTCCACCATCATATTGGAGGGACCTGTTAGGCTTTTCTATGTAACTATTTTCCCATATGGTTCTTGCTGTTAAACGTCCTAATGACAGTCTCCACATATCTGAGGTCTAGTCTATTTTTAAAGCCAGCACTTTACTTTGAGGCTGTGTCAGTGAAACTAACAGGAGTTGAAAGGTGTCTCCAACTGTTACATCAGACAGTACAGAGAGCAAGTGAGGTGTGGGGGAGAATGCCGATTTTATGAAATCCCTCCAAAGGCGTGGAAGAAGCATGTGCAACTGACAACCCACAGACACCTGGAGAAACAGCTAAGGGTCTACCTTTCAAGTTCTATCTTAGGCTCTTAGGAGAGTTCAGTATTTTAACCTACATGTAGACAAGGTCAGTTCTAAGTACCTGTTTATTGAGCACCCTCGTATCAAGGCATTGAAGAAATAGGATATAAAAAAAGCAAAATGAACTGTTCCCAACTGTAAGCAGGTTATTCTAATTGAGGAGAAGTCTGTTGTTAAGTCACTAAGATGTGTCTGACTCTTTGAGACCCCATGGACTACAGCATGTCAGGCTCCCCCGGTCCTTCGGGATGATGTATAATAATTACTTCCCAGATACACTAAATACCAAATGAGCCTAAAGAATGGAAGGTCAGTTTCAGATTTGGACCTTCAGAGATATTTTCATGGAGGATGAAGATCTTGAGTTGACTCCCAGGAACCCAGGAGGGAGCAGAGGCAGGAGTTAGGATGCACATATGTTGTTAAGAGACAGTAGATTTGCCTGGAGTTGAAGGTTCATGCAATAGAAAAAAATGATAATAAATTGGGCACAGATATGAAAGAATTTGAATAGCAGGCTAATCAATTTGAACTTAACTTTGACAGCAGTAGGAGTCACTGGGAGTTTCTGGTATGAGGAAAGTTTGGAAAATATATAAAACATTAATTTAAGGTCAATTTATACAGTAGTGATCTTTGGAGTTGGGTAAGGGGACAGGTTGAAGTTGGTAGATCAGTTAGACCCCACCATCAGGAGATGAGGCCCTCGATTTTCTGATGGTGGTGGTCTGAATGGAAAGAAAAGAATGACAACAAAAAATAAACAAAAAGAAGAAGAAATGAATGAACTCGATGGTACCTTTAAATACACCAGCAGAGAGAGTAGTGGTTACCTTAGGGTCTCCCAGAATTAGACAGTGACATACCTAAAGGAAAAGTCTGTCAATCAGAAGAAGGACTAATTACCCCCCCAGGTGGGTCTGCAGTACCCAGGTAGTGCCACCCCAGAGAGCTGGGTCCTCAGCTGCCTGGAAAGTCTGATGGGTCACCTCTTCTAGTGTGAAATGTCAGGGTGAGTCGGGAAATGGTAGTGCTAGACTCTGAATTCCTGTCTTGTCTTTGATTTATTTACTGTTTATTTCCTTTGTTTCACTTTTTCATCACCAAGTAACCTTCTGGTTATGACTTGGCTCCCCCTCTGCCTCTGTCCACAGAGAGAGAATGTGCTGGCTTGCCCTGGGAGGGTTTCAGTCCATCTGACATTTATGGTTCTCGCAGTAAATTAATATGTTTGCATCTTGACATCACTCTTTAGTGCTCTGGGCTCTTTGAGTTGTAAGTCCACCTCCGAGATGTGACTTTGCTCCAGCTTTGCCGACAGATCAGGTTTCCAAGCCTGCAAGGCCATGGACCAAATTTCAGAGTGTGGAAAATTCATCGAGGTAATGACTCCATGAGGCTGCCTGAAAAACAATCTTGTGACACCCAGCCTCCTTAGCACTCCTCTCATGGTTGAGGCTTGATATAGAATATAGAATGTATGAGGAATCGTCTGGTAAAATATTTGTGCTTGAGATTTCAGAAATTTGGTTTCAGGGTTGCCAATAAGCATGCAGTTTTTTTTTTTTTTTTTCCAGTGAGTCTATTGTTGACACTTGGAAATAGGATACAGGGTAAACGTGCGCTCTGAGTCGAGTCAATGACAAAGGACTTATCATTTTGGAGAACATTGGAACCTGGGTAGGAAAAGCAGCTAGAACTTTGTATGATGTAACTTTTTTCTCCGTCAGTAGAATCCATCCCAGGTTTAAAAACAACTTAAGAGATTTAACTTTACGGCTGACTCTAGCAAGGGCAACAGGCATGCCCATTATACCTGTTCCCCAGGAACAGCTTGTTTCCTGTGGGTTTCGGTGCTCCTGTATTGATTGTGAGGTTAGTTATGTTGGGAACATTTCTCAGAATCTCAGCATTGAAAAATGTCAAGTCAACCTGTAGGCTCAGTTCTTTTATAGTGCTTATTGTATAAAGGTATAAAAATACCTTGAAGATGTGAGAGTCTGGGGACACATTCTCTATACTTAATGGAAAAATCGCCCGATAAGAATAGCTGGAATAAATGGAACAGTTCTTCTAT